GGGGGGGGGGGGGGGCATTGACTTCAGCTGAGAAGAACCAAGAGGCCATTTGAGCTCTTGCTTCGTTCGACCAAGACTCACCATGCTCTTTCTTCCATTGCAGTTATCGCCTGTGTGACCCTTCTGAGCAAAAGCTATACGGAAAATCGCCTCTCTTTGGGCAGTATTTTGTTCTGGAAAACCCAGGGACAGTCAGAGTGGGAGATCCTGTGTACCTGCTGGGCCAGTGACAGGAATCCTGTCCTGGAATATCAGATACCTTGAAAAAAGATATCGTCAGAGACGCTGGGAAGCACGCCTGTGGAACCGAACCCTCAGCATTTTCTTTGGGTCTGTGACCTCTGGGGTTTTTGTTTTGTTTTGTTTTGTTTTGTTTTTGCCTTTTAGACTTCTTTGTGCCTCAGTCCTTCCCAGGGTCCCAGTGCACAAGGCAAAGAAATAAGTCCTTGGGAGCTTAGTAGGACATCTGCAAGGCACTTAAATGACAAGGCAGAACACCGAAAATCCCTTGTTTAACTGTGATTGTGGAATCTGTTCCCCTTTTCCATTCACCTATCCAGAGGGCTAACCTCCATCGTCTCATTACCACTCCGGAGGAAAGAGAAGAGAAAGAGGAAGAGTGGGGAAGTGTGAAGAATGTTCTGGAAGAATGCAATGGAAATGACATAGCTCCCCAGATAAGGCTGGAGTGTCACATCCCTTTTCTCCCCAAGCCCTGGACTACGTTTTGAGGAGGCATAAAGACCCCGATCTTCAGGAAACACTTAAGATGTCAACCTCTTATAGATCATCATGGAACTGGCACTTCTTCTCAGACAACGTCCACAGGATTGGATGGATCCTTCAATAGCCCGCAGTGCCTCTGGGCTGTAGAACAGCAGAAATGTCATGGTGCAAAGTCAACCATTGAGAACAGCCATTGCTGGCAGACGCCCACAGGCAACACGTGGAAAGCAAGACAGACACAGACTTCCTTGTCTTGAGACAAATGTCAAGTACATCTCATTAGTGATCCAAACGTTTTTCCCAACATAGGAGAGTGGGCGGTAGCCCCAGAGAGGGGAAGACCGCCGGTTTGCTGTTGTCTGAGACGCTGTTAAATGTTGCCCAGTGAAATAGTGGCGCCCCTCTTGGCAGATGAGCAAAAAGAAGCAGAAAGATGTCGCCCCCTGGTGGTGGCAAATGATAGCTTAGCCCATGCTGTGGAAAAGATTGGGAAAAAAAAATACCTGTGATTGGGTTTTAATTTTCTATCCCTGATTTTTTTTTTTTAAGGAAGTGGGGACACCCTCCAGGTACTCTCTGCTTCTCAGCTGTAAGTATTTGATTTCCTAAAAGCTCTCAGGAGGGTGGCTCTGTTGTCACAAAGCCCCCTGGGATCCTTGCTGGTCTCATCAACTCATGGCTGGGTCCTCCTCCTCAAATTCAGGGTGAGAAAGTTCTGGAGTCCGTGGATGAGAAGAAGCGTGATTTTGTGGTTTGGAATGGGCCGCTGAAAACCTTTCGAAGGAGAAGAGGAAATCATGTCAGTTCATTAAAAACCGCTATCTAATCTTTCTACTTTCTAATGATTTAGCTCTAAGAGCTGAGGGACCATATCCTTCACTGCTGTTTTGTCCTTAGGAAGCTGACTAAATCGTGAAAAAATGTTCCCAAACTGTAAACAAACGGAAGCTACTCTAACTCGCTTCAGGTCTTACTAACTTCTTGGCACAAAAATCGGACTTTGAAGCCTGACTGATGTGAATGGGCGAAGCTGGTAATTGTGCTGCCCAACCAGAGCTGGGTCTCTTACAGATGGAGCTGCTCACACACAGCTTCCCCAGGTGAACACCCATCTCTGATGGGCTGGCAAGCAAACGTGCTTTTCACCAAAAGCTGTGCGTTCTCCACGTCGGTTTTATAAAAGAGGTTAGTAATCACTGGAATCTAGCCCAGCTCCGAGGTAACCTTGGAAGTCAACAGGTGCATCTATGTGTGTTTTCTGGTTGGTGATTCGCTGCAATTTGTTTTCTGCACCCTTGGCACGGAGCAGAGAGCGAAAGCGATCGGTCAGGTCACCTGGCCCGTCACCTTCCCCTTATAAATCCACTTTGTGCTGAAACTACAGGTAGACTGAGGCAAAAATAAAGTTCGGCAAGTAACGTTACGAATGGGACCTTGGGAACGCGTGGTGCAATGCAGCCGGGAGTTAAGAAACCATGTGAAGATTGACTCTGAGAACAGCCAATAGTTACGCACCAGTGACAAACTCAAGGTTGGTTCGGTAGCTGTTCCTAGGGATTTGTGATCGGTGGCAAGCTGAATGCCTTCGCCTGAATTTCTAGCCCTTTGTAAATAGTAACATCCACTTCCCCAGCGACCCATTCTGTGTCAAAAGCCACACTTCCTGCAGACCCTGTCGTTGTCTGTGGTGCAGAGCAGCCCTCGAATGGAGGGGGCGTGCGGACACCGTTTGTCGGGGGTCCCCTTCTGCCCCTCAGGGTGGGAGGAAGATTCCTGTCTGGAGAGAGAAGTTCCAATGACCCCTAGAATCTCAGAGGACCTGCCAAGCTTTGTGTCAGTGAGATTTAAGAGCCATTTACTTGTGTTGATTTTATATTTAATGAGTTGGTTCATGCCCAAGGCTGGGCTGATGCCTCGTTTGTGTTGGATACCGACCATTTGCACACAATTCCACTTGAAATATAGGATCAGGATTAGAGACCATCACAGACCCTCAGAACGGTCTTACCGCCGTGGGCGATGGACATTCGAGGTCAGGCCAGAATGTCCACTCCTGCTGGGTGTTGTGTTTCATTCTAGGTGGCAATTTATGCTGTCCTCGCAGCAGAGAATTAGCAGCCAAGAGCTGGAGATGCTGAGAAGGAGAGTTTGAGAGAGGCCCCGGGCAGGCTGCTCAAAGGCTCACGTTCATGGTTGTTCCACAGAAAAAATGGGAGCTGCACGCCCAGGAGACAGAAGCAGCAACGTGTACACGCAAGGGGCGGACAGAAATCAGGCTAGGCCCGCTGGAAATCGGGCAGTTGTCCGGCACCGAGAGATCCCCTCCTCCTCTCTTTCTGCCCTTAGGGATGCAGGGGCTGGGTGAGGAGGTGCGCTCGGGGATCTCGGCCAGTTCGGTGAGACCGTGCGGAGGCCGGGCCAGCTTGTGACTTTGGGAAGCCGTCTGTGAGGCTGTGACCCACAGTAATGGCAGGCTGGAGCACCAGGCACGCGACCCCAGGACTCTGATAGGGTGACGAGTTGGAGCGGCCCATGACGGCGGAGAGTCCCTCAGATGTGCCGGAGGGTCTCTCACACCAGGCCGCTACTGTAGGTCTAGCCAGGGCGCTGGTGCCACCCCCGAACACGACGCTGCCCTAGGTCTTGTTGGTCCGTGAAACCCTGAAAGTTTGCCTGCAGGGACGCTCCTGAAAAGGCATTTCTTGGACCGGTGACTCTGGTAAGTCCCGCATACCTCCCTTCGGGCTTTCTTCACAGGCCCAGCAGCTCATGGGACGTGCGGGACCTAAAATGAAGGATTCTGCTCGACACTGCCCTCCCCTACGCTCTATACCTGACCCCCTCTCAAGAAATCTACTCTGACCTCTAGATCTCTAGAGACAGCACCAGCCAGGGGCAAGGAATCATGATTAGCAGGAATGGTGCCCTCCCGAGAAGGCCCAGCCACATGGAGGAGGCCTCTCTTGGGATGCTTCCTCCTGTCTTTTCTCTCATCCCTCTGACTGGGGCTGAAGGGTGGGACTGAGGCTTAAAGAAAGGAGGTGTGGAGAGAGCGTCTTAGGCCAGCTTCGCTATTGTGGCGGACCTTGGGGAGAAGCCTTCCTTCCCTCTGGACTCATTTTCCAAACCTGCATTCATGGATGGATGGCGGGGATCAGGGTTGGCGGGGCGGACGCAGACCCTAGTCCTGGCCTTACGACACCACACAAGTGCTCCAGGATGCCCTCCGCACCAGGGAGGGGCACGATCCTTCCATCTGTTAGCTTTACCTTTCCCTGCAACCTCTCAGCTAGAGCTGCCTCCTTCTACTTTATTTGTATTATTATTATTTTTCAAATGTTTATTTATTTTTGACAGAGGCAAAGACAGGGCATGAGCGGGGGAGGGGCAGAGAGAGAGGGAAACCCAGAATCGGAAGCAGACTCCAGGCTCCGAGCTGTCGGCACAGAGCCCGACGTGGGGCTCGGACTCACAGACTGTGAGATCCTGACCTGAGCCGAAGTCGGACGCTCAACCGACTGAGCCACCCAGGCGCCCCACCTCCTGCTTTAAGCAGAACTACCCCAGGGTCTTAGTGCTTCTGACCATACACATATACTCCCTTTATACCATGATCTTTAAAAAAAAGTTTTTTTGATGTTTACTGATTTTTGAGAGATAGAGAGACAGAGCATGCGTGACGGAGGGGCAGAGAGAAAGGGAGACACACACTCTGAAGCAGGCTGCGGGCTCCGAGCTGCCAGCACAGAGGCCGATGTGGGGCTCGAACTCGCAGACCGTGAGATCATGACCTGAGCCGAAGTCAGACGCTTCACTGACTGAGCCACCCAGGCGCCCCCCTTTACACTGTGATCTTATATCAGTAAGAGCACCGTTTGGTTCTACCACTTTCTTAGAAATGGACAAGTGAGTTTTGATAGTGCCTGAATCTGCCCAGTTTCAAGCAAGGGGAAGAATCTGGTTGAAGGATTCAACAAATGCTCTTGGAATTGGGATAATGGAAATGTGCCTGAGGTATCCCTTTGTCTGCTTTGACTGCAGCGTCTTCAGAGGAAGAGGCCCAGGCAACAGCTTTGGCCATGATCCTGGTCTCCCTCAAAACACAGCTGATAGGGGACTGGTGGGGCCATCTGGTCCCATCCTCTTGGGCCGAGCTCAGAAAGAGGAGTTGCCCTAATCACATTATTAGTCTTCCTGGACAGGCTGTAGTAACAAAAGGGGCTGAGAAGTGCCTTCTGATTTAACTTGTTCCAAGGCCAATTTTGATGGGTGGGTCAAGTTCAATCACGTTTGGATATTGACCAACCTAATCTATTCGCCCTTGGTGGTCGTCAGTCGGGCCCCCATACCTTCACAGGGCATTCTAGACTGCACTTCCTCCCACTTCCCTCATGAAGCCCACAGACCCTGATTCTTTCCCTTCCTTTCTTTCTCCGTACCTTCTACCAATCCCTGACCTGTATCTTCCGTAGTCCAGACTCCAGTATTGGCGGAGCTCAGTGGG